TATTCGTTCGTTACACCATTGAAATATAGCTCACAAGTTGATTACTCAATTGTGAAGAGATCCTCATCAGGGAGATCTGTTTTAACAAGAGTGTTATCTAGCAGTGCGTGTTCAGCTAAATGGTCTTTAATTGCCTGTCCTTTGATCGATTTTTGAGTGACATATTTGATATCGAACTCGCTCAATAGCATTCTCCCATACAAGGCCTCAAAAGGTGTCATTTGAATACTGGCTTGGAAGCTGTCGTTATAAGCAAATTCCATCCGAGGCAAAAGGTCATCTCATCTTCCTTCGAAATTAGTAACACAAGCCCTTAACATATCCTCTAGGGTTTGAATAGTCCTTTCTGACTGCCCATCGGTCTCCGGGTGGAAAGCAGTGCTAAAAGTGAGTCTTGTCCCTAATGTTGATTGCAGACCATTCCAAACTCTTGAAGTAAATCTAGTGTCCTTGTTGGACACCATGCTGACATGTATTCCATGCAACCTTACAATTTCTTTAATGTATAACCAGGCCAATTTATTCACAGTATACGTTGTGTGGACCGGTAAAAAGTGAGCAGCTTTAGTCAGCCGGTCCACAATGACCCAAAATCTGTCATGCCCAGCTCTTGCTCTAGGTAAGCTAGAGACAAAGTCCATAGTAATGTATTCCCAGTTCCATTCTAGCACGGGCAAGGGTTGCAATAGTCTGGCGGGTTTCGGATGCTCAGCCTTCACTTGCTGGCATGTCAAGCATTTAGAGATAAATTGTGCCACTTCCTTTTTCATATCATTCCACCAGAACATCTTCCTTAGATTCTGATACATTTTAGTACTCCCTGGGTGTACAGTATAACAAGAGTGGTGTGCTTCTTCCAAAATAGCCTGCTTTACATTTTCATCATTCGAAACGCATACTCGATCCTTAAATCTTAACAGACCATCCCTGCTAATAGAGAAATTATCCTTCCTTCCCAGCTTAGTTCTTCCAGAATTTTCATCAGTTGGGGATCTTCCTTTTGTGCCATTCGGATCTGTTGAAAGAGCTGGGGTTCCATCCTCAAACAACAGTCATTCATACCCCATCACTAAGGGGCAGGGTTGGGTGCCACTCCACTGCATCCTCTAATAGTTTCATCTCTCGAACCAATAGATGTGCCACTGACACCACGGGCTTCCTGCTTAAAGCATCTGCTATTACATTGGTCATGCCTAGTTGGTAATTGATGATACAGTCATAGTCATTTAGTAGATCCATCCATCTTCTTTGCCTCGTGTTTAACTCGCTCTAGGAAAATAGATACTTGAGGCTCTTATGAGCTGTAAATACCTTAAATTGGGCCCCATAAAGGTAATGCCTCCAGATTTTCAAGGTGAAAACTATAACAGCGAGTTCCAAGTCATGAGTTGGGTAATTTTGTTCGTGCAACTTTAATTGTCTAGAGACATAAGCTATGACCTTCCCTCGCTGCATCAGTACACATCCAAGCCCTTTATGAGAGGCGTTAGTATAAACTACAAATCCATGTTCCCTTCAGGTAAAGCCAGTATCAGGGCCGTAGTCAGCCTCTTCTTCAGTTCTTGAAAACTTATCTCACAATCATCTGACCACACAAACTTCACTTCCTTCTGGGTTAGACAAGTTTGGAGGAGTGTTATCTTTGAGAAGCCTTCTACGAAGCACCTATAATATCCTTCTAGTCTAAGAAAACTGCGGACCTCTGTCACATTTGATGGTCTTCCCCACTTAAGTACGGCTTCAATTTTACAAGGGTCAACTGCGACCCCATCCTTAGATACAATGTGCCCAAGAAAGGCCATGTTAGGAAGACAAAAATCGCTCTTTCCCAACTTAGCATATAACCTTTCTGACTTTAGAGTCTGGAGGACTATTCTTAGGTGTTGCTCTTGCGCTTCCAGGTTCTTTGAATGCACCAAATATCATCTATAAAGACCACCACAAAATTATCCAGGAAGGGTCTAAAAACTCTATTCATCAAATCCATAAAGACAGTTGGGGCATTAGTCAATCCGAACGGCATTACTACGAACTCATAGTCACCATATCGGGTCTTGAATGCTGTCTTGGGGACATCTTCTTCCTTGAACCACAGTTGATGATAGCCTGACCGAAGATCAATCTTAGAAAATACTTGGGTCCCTTGAAGCTAGTCAAAAAGGTCATCAATTCTAGGCAAGGGATATTTATTCTTTACAGTGACCTGATTCAACTGTCTATAGTCTATACAAAGCCTTAAAGACCAATCTTTCTTTTTCAAAAATGGGACTGGTGCACCCCAAGGTGACACACTAGGTTGAATAAACCCGTTTTCCAACAATTCCTGTAGTTGTTCCTTCAGCTCCTTTAATTCGATTGGGCCATCCTATAAGGGGCTTTAGAGATGGGTGCAGTGCCTGGGACCACATCTATCTCAAATTCTACCTCCTTGACTGGAGACAAAGAGGTCAACTCCTCAAGAAAAACTTCGGGATATTCTCTCATCAATGGTTTCTCTTCCAACTTGGACTAGACATCCCGATTCTCTACTACATAGGCCAAATACCCAACACATCCTTCTGCCAACAAGCGAGAAGCCCGAAGGGTCGAAATAGGGTGCATAGGGGAACCATCCTTATTGCCCACAAAGTTCAACTCAGACTGATTTGGGCATCTAAAGGTTACAGTTTTATCATAGTAATTTACTGTAACATAATGTGTGAACAACCAGTCTATGCCCAAAATAACATCAAAATCTTGAATGTCTTGTAGTATCAAGTCTATAGGTAAGACACATCCTTCAAGCAAGACTCCACAGTGTTTATAAACAATATCAGTTTCTAAAGATTCCTTCATAGGTGTGCATACTGGCAAAGTCCGGTCAAGAAGTGCAGGTCTAGCATTCATGTGGCATTCAAAGTGAGGTGCAACAAAAGAGTGGGGGTCAATCAGAAATCTAGCTTCCATGTCACAAACAAAGAGCATACCTTGGATTATAGTGGAAGATGCCTAGGCTTCTCGTTCTGTGAGAGAAAATATCCGACCTTGAGTCTTCGGTCGGTTCTCTGATCCTTTCGCTGAAAAGTCTTTGATCAGGTGGCCATGCTTGCCACATCGGAAACGCGCTCCTGCTCTTCTTTGGCACTCAGTCGCAGAGTGATTGTCCTTCCTATAGTATGGGCACGTCGGTGCTGGTTCTCCCTAATGTCACCTGGAAAGGTCTTTTGCATCTTCTTGTTCCTTTGGTTATCTCTTCCCCTAAAACCTCTCCTTGGAGGTGGTTGAGTCTTCATCCCAAAGTTCCCAAACTGGGTGATCCCTGTTTTTCCTTCCTTCCTTATCCAGGACTATTCTCCGTCCCTCTCAACTTTCATGGCAAGGTCTACCAAAGGGGAGAAGGTTTTGAGGTTTGCCTATATCACCCTTCCCCTTATATCGGGCCCGAGGCCTCTGTCAAACTTATTCGCCTTTCGCGCTGCAGTATTGATGATGTGCGGTGCATATCTCGATAATTCAGCAAACTTGGCTGCATATTGCTCCACTGACAAGTCTCCTTGTTGCAGCTCAATGAACTCCACTTCCTTTCTTTCCCGTACAAAGTCAGGGAAGTACTTCTCATTGCATGCTTTCAAAAAAATTTCCCAACTCACTTTTGTCCCTGACCTTTCTCATGATTGCTTCACTGAGCCCCACCAGTGCTCAACATCTCCTTCCAACATGAAGGTTCCGAGCCTAACCTTATGTTCATTAGTACAATGCAACACCTCAAATATTTTCTCCATTTGTCTCCTCTATCGTTGTGCTTTCTCTACTCCCCGGTGCCCCAAGAATGTTGGAGGTCCTAGCCTCCTAAATCTTTCTATTCGGCCACTGTCAGTCAGGTCTGGGGCAGGGGTAGCCGAGGCCAGCATACTGTCTTTCATCATTTGAGAAATGGCTCCTAAGGTCTTGAAGAATTCACCAAGGGCCTCTGTATTGTCATTGTTAAAGCTCACATTATTGGCACGAGTACTCGGCATCTTCGACATAAAATAGAAGCACCCAACTACTAACCTATTCAAGACCATTCCATGGATACTCCTAAGACACTCTAGGTCAAGAATCCTATCCTGGCTGCTCTGATACCACAACTATCATGACCCCACCCCCTAACCCCTACCGTACTGCCTGAAGGGCGATAGAGTGTTGGATCGCCACCAGAGATCACAAACATCACTCTGGTGGGAGTGGCTCAACATGTTTGGAAATGTAGAATCAAAGCAAACCACAAAATAAAATGAAAACTCATTCATCAAGCATCACACAACTGCACCAATTAAAACCATTGTATACAATTTCCAATGATTCTTTACAATTCTGTCCAAAGCACTACTGACCTGATAACAAAATGTCAATATTACCTCAAAATCACATTGTGGCACCACTACCAGACACCTACTATCAAAAGTTCCTTGATCAGTCCCGAGCTTCAGTCACCTGGCACGACTGTCCAGCTACCTAATCTCAAGAATCTGAGATTATCGCTCTACACAGGAAAGAAAAATAAGAAGAATGAGCTCAAAGCCCAGTAAGTAGATCATTACCGTTGCATTCCCATCTACATGCATACTTATATGATAATGTGGTCCGCAGATCATCACAATTCATGCAAATCACAGAGTAAAGTCATCCATCTCAATTCATTAGTAGTGTAAAATAGAGTATGATTCATATATCAAGGCAGTACATATGTATGAGCTAACAATTATTTCACCTCTTATCACAGTAGTAGGTCAGTACCCAGAAAGAACACACAAAACATACAAGCAAAGTCTAGAGTTGTCTACTCCCGAAATATAAGTCACATCGATTATGCCAAGCCAATCCTGAACTTGGAACTTCTACCCTCTTTCAGAAGGGAGGACAATGAAAAATAGAGACCCCATTTTGTAACGTCCTAACTCACACACAATCCTCTGCGCGCTTTGGGTTTTTCGATAGGCGGTGGCCTTGCAAAACAACCCTCTGTCAAACTTATTCACCTTTGGCGCTGCAGTATTGATGATGTGTGGTGCATATCTCGATAATTCAGCAAACTTGGCTGCATATTGCTCCACTGACAAGTTTCCTTGTTGCAGCTCAATGAACTCCACTTCCTTTCTTTCCCGTACAAAGTCAGGGAAGTACTTCTCATTGATGCTTCCAAAAAAATTTCCCAATTCACTTTTGTCCCTGACCTTTGTCATGATTGCTTCACTGAGCCCCACCAGTGCTCAGCATCTCCTTCCAACATGAAGGTTCCGAGCCTAACCTTATGTTCATTAGTACAATGCAACACCTCAAATATTTTCTCCATTTGTCTCCTCTATCGTTCCGCTTTCTCTACTCCCCGGTGCCCCAAGAACGTTGGAGGTCCTAGCCTCCTAAATCTTTCTATTCGCCCACTGTCAGTTAGGTTTGGGGCAAGGGTAGCCGAGGCCAGCATAGTGTCTTTCATCATTTGAGAAATGGCTCCTAAGGTCTTGAAGAATTCACCAAGGGCCTCTGTATTCTCATTGTTAAAGCTCACATTATTGGCACGAGTACTCGGCATCTTCGACATAAAATAGAAGCATCCAACTACTAACCTATTCAAGACCATTCCAGGGATACTCCTAACACACTCTAGGTCAAGAATCCTATCCTGGTTGCTCTGATACCACAACTATCATGACCCCACCCCCTAACCCCTACCGCACTGCCTGAAGGGAGAAAGAGTGTTGGATCGCCACCAGAGATCACAAACATCACTCAGGTGGGAGTGGCTCAACATGTTTGGAAATGTAGAATCAAAGCAAACCACAAAATAAAATGAAAACTCATTCATCAAGCATCAAACAACTGCACCAATTAAAACCATTGTATACAATTTCCAAAGGTTCTTTACAATTCTGTCCAAAGCACTACTGACCTGACAACAAAATGTCAATATTACATCAGAATCACATTGTGGCACCACCACCAGACACCTACTATCAAAAGTTCCTTGATCAGTCCCGAGCTTCAGTCACCTGCCACGACTGTCCAGCTACCTAATCTCAAGAATCTGAGATTATCGCTCTACACAGGAGAGAAAAATAAGAAGAATGAGCTCAAAGCCCAGTAAGTGGATCATTGCCGTTGCATTCCCATCTACATGCATACTTATATGATAATGTGGTCCGCAGATCATCACAATTCATGCAAATCACAGAGTAAAGTCATCCATCTCAATTCATTAGTAGTGTAAAATAGAGTATGATTCAGATATCAAGGCAGTACATATGTATGAGCTAACAATTATTTCACCTCTTATCACAGTAATAGGTCAGTACCCAGAAAGAACACACAAAACATACAAGCAAAGTCTAGAGTTGTCTACTCCCGAAATATAAGTCACATCGATTATGCCAAGCCAATCCTGAACTTCGAACTTCTACCCTCTTTCAGGAGGGAGGACAATGAAAAATAGAGACCCCATTTTGTAATTTCCTAACTCACACACAATCCCCAGCGCGCTTTGGGTTTTTCGATAGGCGGTGGCCTTGCAAGACAACCCTCTGTCAAACTTATTCGCCATTCTCGCTGCAGTATTGATGATGTGTGGTGCATATCTCGATAATTCAGCAAACTTGGCTGCATATTGCTCCACTGACAAGTTTCCTTGTTGCAGCTCAATGAACTCCACTTCCTTTCTTTCTCGTACAAAGTCAGGGAAGTACTTCTCATTGATGCTTCCAAAAAAATTTCCCAATTCACTTTTGTCCCTAACCTTTCTCATGATTGCTTCACTGAGCCCCACCAGTGCTCAGCATCTCCTTCCAACATGAAGGTTCCGAGCCTAACCTTATGTTCATTAGTACAATGCAACACCTCAAATATTTTCTCCATTTGTCTCCTCTATTGTTCCGCTTTCTCTACTCCCCGGTGCCCCAAGAACGTTGGAGGTCCTAGCCTCCTAAATCTTTCTATTCGCCCACTGTCAGTTAGGTCTGGGGCAGGGGTAGCCGAGGCCAGCATACTGTCTTTCATCATTTGAGAAATGGCTCCTAAGGTCTTGAAGAATTCACCAAGGGCCTCTGTATTGTCATTGTTAAAGCTCACATTATTGGTACGAGTACTCGACATCTTCGACATAAAATAGAAGCATCCAACTATTAACCTATTCAAGACCATTCCAGGGATACTCCTAACACACTCTAGGTCAAGAATCCTATCCTGGCTGCTCTGATACCACAACTATCATGACCCCACCCCCTAACCCCTACCGTACTGCCTGGAGGGCGAAAGAGTGTTGGATCGCCACCAGAGATCACAAACATCACTCAGGTGGGAGTGGCTCAACATGTTTAGAAATGTAGAATCAAAGCAAACCACAAAATAAAATGAAAACTCATTCATCAAGCATCACACAACTGCACCAATTAAAACCATTGTATACAATTTCCAATGGTTCTTTACAATTCTGTCCAAAGCACTACTGACCTGACAACAAAATGTCAATATTACATCAAAATCACATTGTGGCACCACCACCAGACACCTACTATCAAAAGTTCCTTGATCAGTCCGGAGCTTCAGTCACCTGCCACGATTGTCCAGCTACCTAATCTCAAGAATCTGAGATTATCGCTCTACACAGGAGTGAAAAATAAGAAGAATGAGCTCAAAGCCCAGTAAGTAGATCATTGCCGTTGCATTCCCATCTACATGCATACTTATATGATAATGTGGTCCGCAGTTCATCACAATTCATGCAAATCACAGAGTAAAGTCTTCCATCTCAATTAATTAGTAGTGTAAAATAGAGTATGATTCATATATCAAGGCAGTACATACGTATGAGCTAACAATTATTTCATCTCTTATCACAGTAATAGGTCAGTACCCAGAAAGAACACACAAAACATACAAGCAAAGTCTAGAGTTGTCTACTCCCGAAATATAAGTCACATCGATTATGCCAAGCCAATCCTGAACTTGGAACTTCTACCCTCTTTCAGGAGGGAGGACAATGACAAATAGAGACCCCATTTTGTAATGTCCTAACTCACACACAATCCCCAGCGCGTTTTGGATTTTTCGATAGGCGGTGGCCTTGCAAGACAACCCATTCTTTATGCCTTTAGGTGAGAGGATATTACACTACTATTGGAAGACCCATAACAATGTGGGGGGTGCGACCCTCGCTGTAATTTACAAACACCTCCCGACTCCAATCCCATCATTGGAGTCGGAGCACAGTCTATCCAACTACCAATGGAGGATCCATTGTGTAGCGGTCATGTCACATATATTAGTCTCAATATAACAAAATAGCAATATCAAAGTATCAATGGAGGGCTCATTGCGTAGTCGTTAGTATCATATATAGATAACAAAATCACAATATCCAACTACCAATGGGGGATCCTTGCGTAGTGGTAATGTCATATATGTTAGTCTCAATATAACAGAATCACAATATCCAACTACTAATGGAGGACCCATTGCGTAGTGGTCAATATCTCATATAGATAACAGAATCAAAGTATCCAACAACCAATGGAGGACCCATTGTATAGTGGTCAGTATCAAATATAGATAACAAAATCACCATATAACACATTTTGATGTATTGCATATATGCATACTCAAGCGTTCATTTGCTCATGCTTTACCATTAAAAAGTCTAAGAACAATCATAGTATCGTACGCAGGCATTTTCAGTATCTCATGACAGATAATTTCAATCTCCTTATGAAGGGATTTAGCTATGTTTGCATAGTTCATAATAACAGTTTGGGAATTTACTGTCATTCCCATCAGAAATATGCATATACTAAATGAGACATGGCATTCAATTCATGAGGAATTTCAACTCAATTTCAATCTTCACTTAAAATAGACATATATGTCTTTCATTTTTGCATCATTTGAAACAGTTTATGCATCATTTGATCAGTTAAAAGCCCAACAAAACAAGGGCAACAGTTTCTGAAAATTTGCGGTAATCTATGATAGTGACATCTTACACCAGCAAAAGCATAAGTCCCAACTTTGGGGTAAATAATGGGATGGTTTCAAAACTAAAGTTAGAGTAGAAACACATATCTTTCTAACAAAGGTGATTTGAAAGCATTTGGACACCATTTGATCGATCAAAAGCTCAATGCAACAAAAGTGAATTTCTGAATTCTGCTAACAGTAATATATCCCTCGTATCAGGGGCATAATTTTCAATCTAGAAGGTATTTCGAAATGATTTCATCATGAAACTTTAAGTAAGCACATATGAAATAGCACATATATATTTCATATGGCAGTGGTTTGAAGGAAATTTGACTCTATTTGGTCATTCAAAAGCTCATGACAACAGAAGTAACAATTCTGAATTTTAGTGAAATCTGCTAACAGTGACATACTAGCACAATTTGAAGCATAGCTCCTCATTTGTAAAGATTTTGAGAGAATTTTCAACAAAAAAATCATAGTAGACAAATGCATATTTCCAATAGATGTGATTTGGTGTCATTTGGATGTCATTTGATAGGCCAATAGAGTGCCACAAAAAAATGAAACTTTCCTGGAATTTCACAGTGTGAGCATGGCATTTCTAAAGTAACAATCAATTACTCGCAAATTTGGTTAGACATTCACATGAAACATTTTTCATCTTGAATTAGACTCACATGAATACCAATTCACATATTTTCACGATCAATAATAGTAATTTCAGTGCTCATTTTGTCTTGCAAAGAAGGCCTAAATTTCTGAAAAACAAAGCAAAACAAGGAACACATGCAACCATTGTTCCCTAAAATTCGTACAAGTTCATCCTTAATTTTCATACTTCCATAATTAAAGACATGCAGGGTTTTTTATCCACTTACCTTTTGTATGCAATGGTGTTCTCCCGACCCTTCACACAGTCACTTCACTCTCACTCCAAGTCTTCCCAAAAGGCTCAAAGGGGGCTGGAGGTTGATGTTCCAAGAGAGAGGAATAGGTTCCAACATGTGAGGCAAAAGGAAGAGAAGGGGCTTTTATACTCTCTCACATCAAAGGCGGCATCCTGGGCTTGCCAAGTGGCAACCTTAGTGTCATGCAGCTTGACAAGTGGAAAGGTGGCAGCATGGAGCAGGAAGATGGCACTCATAGGCCATGCACTGGCTTGGCGACCTTGCGCACGGTGGTAGTCTTTCTGCTTCTCACTGTTGTGCATGTCTCTCTCTCTCTCTCTTCTTCT